TGAAATAAGTTTCTGTACTGTTCATACAAAACAGGTTCATTCCCATCAAATTTGACGGATAATTCTACGCTTGTAATATCATAAAAATTTCTCTTTCAGTTGTTCAGTTCTCCCGTTTGTTTTCTGGTTTATCGAAAAGATAGCGCTTATTGTTATGATTTACGGTTGCCACCACCGAGCGCATATTGAACGCAAAATAAAGGATTGGTGATTATGGTAACTTATCGTCTGTTCGGATATGGTCACTACCCCCTCTCTCCACTTTCCATCGTCCCACGGTGATATATATATATATATATATATCACTTGGTGTTCCACATAAGCTTTTGCTACTCCATTGCTTGTTCCATGTGCATTAAAGGAGAGCTTCCCACTTTATCACATCTCCTTCAAATTTACAAACTTCCAGACTCAGCGATTCTTAGGAAAAGGATAATCGATGTTCGAGATGCAATGGGAGACGTCCGTTTCTTAACGTAATGATCTTTTGCCCAATATATCTTACGTACCTGGAAGAAGCAGTTTCATGAGATTTATTATCAGACAAATTCAGGCTGTGAGTAAAACGCAGATATGCTCTGTACCACATTTGTCATAAGATGTTCACAAATTTTACAATTTACATTTATATTCCACGTATATGTTACGTTGTATTTTATGTATAAAACAGCATAATAAAGTTTTATTAGTACTTAAAGCAGATACAATGATAATTTTATACCGAATGTAACTTAACTTAGTCTGAGTATTGGAATTTTTATAAAATTTCGTATTTTTCCTTGTGAATATCAATCTTTGATCATCTAATAGATTCACATATTAATATTGATTGGACACATTGTTGTGTGACTGAAAGGTTAAAAGTTCTTGGAAGAACTTATGACGCATATTTTCTTTGAAATATCAAAGTTTATATAAAGAGGATAAATTAATATTTACGGTATTTAGTCAACACGATTTTTTGCATAATTTACACTAGTACAAATTTCTTAAGCTATCGTGTTTAATCTTGAAGTTTCGTAACGCCCTCATATTTGTAACTGTTGAGTTACAAATAATGTATCCTACGGAAATTCTAGATATCATACGTGTAATATCTGTCTGAGTACAAAATCTGACATTTCTATTTCCAGTGGTGCGTTGTACACATGGAAATCTGAGCTATTACTCAGAGACTAGCTAGGTCTGAACCCTAACTGAATGCCTAAGATGCGATAATGTTCTCATTGTCAATGTGAGACGCTCCGTGTGGGATCGTAATAGATGATTATGGAGCAATGTTGGAAAAAGTATATTAGGTATATGACAATAAACCTAAGAAATGGAGACGAATTTGCTGCTGCGATAACTCGTCAACCTCAAATGACATTGTTACCTAGGACTGAACCCATGATCTCGCGGTAAGAATCAATCGCCCGTCTGAGCCGTTACCCCAAACCTAGTGTAAATCTTTCATTTTATTTTACATTCTACAGAAATACCTTAGGGTAAGATACTAAACTACACATAATACAAAGGGCAGCACACACTTTCCCGAGTGTAATCTTCTGAAATATATTTTGATTAGAGAGCTGTTGCCTAACCTAGATTTGTCGAGCGATATCCATTGTTCAAGGTACAAGGCTAACAGGTAATACAGGGGATCAGTGATAATACTTCATGGAACGTGCGGTGGGTAATACCATGTTGCGCGTCTGAACATTTCGATAAAGGGCAGAACAGTGAACACACTCATTCAAGCAACGTTATACGCAGTGCGCTACAAATCTCAATTGAACCAGGTGGAAATTGAATATACGGCTTGCTGTAAATTAACAGCTTCGTCAAATAATTCATAGTCACTGAGATATCAAAGGAAGTGCTTATGTGTAGATTATTGTTGATAATCTGAACATGTTCCGAAATGTAAATCGATCAATCGATATGGAACATGAATGATATTTTATTATCTTAATTATAAGAAATTTTAAATATTGTGATCAGACGGATTAAAATAATTGTTATAATATTATATCTTATACCGTTCATGCTGTTTCAACATTAACTACTCATTAATGTTAATAAAACAAGTATGATGTCGGTTTACATTTTTCGACCGGTTACCTAAGGATTTCCGATACCAATCGAAACACGTTTTAAAATGTTGTCCTACTTGTATTGTTAGCATTCATGAATAATCAATGTTGAGAACAGTTTGAGGTGTGAATTTTTTTGCGTTCTGACGAATAATAAATATGTTATTCAGTTCATTTACGCTCCTAAGTTATTATTAGGCAAAATTACAATGACAGCCTGACTTGTTACGTATTAGTAAAACTTTAACCTGCTAAATTAATTTCATCAATCCAACTAAATTCATTGTCGAGTTTTTAACACTCCTGCTTTGTATTCAGGTCATAGCTTTAAATCTCAGCCCGGAGACCGATTATTCTGACGGGTTTCAATGTTTTTCCTCGGTCCCTCCAGACAAATGCTGGGATAGTAAATCAAATTAGGCAACATTTTTTCCAGTTCATTATCGCACCCTCATTCGATGCTATATAATATGAGAAACTGAAAAAGCGTCTTTAAATATATTTTAATTGAATAATAAATGTATCTATATGACACTATAAGAGGAGGAATTTCGGAACGGAGTACGTATTGTTCCATTTTTAAGAAAGTGAAAGGACTACTTAATGTGAGTGAAGTGTGTTGAGAAAATGTCTGTAGCTTTGATTGCCGCGACTTTGAAAGCAAAGCGACAATTGTTTGATCACATCAGTCTACTCTCTTGTAATTCCAAGAGACTGCACGGCTCATCTAATTCGATTTCGTCGGCGTTGTTTCAACGCGGTGCTGTAGTAATTTGCTGTTGCGCCAAAGCAAAACCGAACTCTCATCAGACGACCCCGTGTCACCAGTTCAGATGGACGGCTGAAATATCCGAGATTGTTGTGCGGGTAGCCTATTTTTATATATTCCTGTATAGACCTTTGCCAAGTTTTCAGCGGCAAATCAGGCTGCCTGAAGTTATTGTGACTCTTCTTCTACGTACGATAAAAAGTTACTGAGTCGTTCACGAGAATGGAAATATTGATTGGATGTTCTCCTGATATCAGTCGCATCTCCAAAGACAGAACACTTATTGTAAAGGACTTTGTAGAGTTTGTTTTTCATTATGATGGTAACGGAGCTGTGAATTTTAATTTAAGAGTAAATTTTATTTGATGCTCCTTGTTACGTCACGTGAACAGGACTGTGATATTTTTCTTGAGCCGTTAACACTTGACCTTTTACATTATTACGTCTCTGTTAAAATCTGTGTTCTTGAGCGAGGATTGTGCTAAAAGATTTTCTTTCTGTATAATGGGCCTGACTTCCATTATAATGGACTAGAAGCCTATTCATTTTATAAACCTTATAATCCGATTACGGTTTTCTGCATTTTCTCTTGTTTGTTCAAGCATGTACCAGGTGACTGAGTTAAAATATGAAAACTGTTCCTCCCGTTCCTCTAGAACAGAATCTGAATTTGAATAAGAAATGACAGAGCTTCTTAATTTCCCTACGTCTTTCCGTCACAGCGCTATGAAATTTGTAACTTGCATCTCTAAATCTGATCTAATCTAATGAAGTGTGTGAACTGATAGAGTTTATGAAGATTCCTGTCTTCCGGATTATTCGTCGTTTAGTGGACTATAAGTTTACAGACGTTTCTGAGGTGGTTGCTGTAATTGCCTTCTTGATAAAGGCAGCAGGTACCTCTGAAATGTCAGTGAACATCTACGAGGCTGCACGGTACAACAACCCAGAAAGCAGCCATCTTCGTACGCCGCCGTGAGAATCTCAGTCTCATTAAATACAAATTATGCTGTAAAATTTCGTAAACATATTCATATTTAGACAATCATTTATGAACATTTGAGACGATTGTATCTTATGCTTTTGTTTTAGCCCACGTCTCGCTATAAACGTGGCATGAAGGTGAATTAAATCAGTAATTTGCTGATGCCATTATAAAGGGGCCTAAATAAAAGAATTCTACTTACTAGCACTCCAGCCGTAAATTCATAAAATATTTATTCTATATGACACTAAAACTCTGCTTGTGAGGGCTTTTCTAAAATCTTTTTCTTATGTATGTGTGTGTGTGTGTCATGAACTTTCAGGATTCTTCCCATTTATCCTAGCACGGTGAATTTTGCGTGAATATTTTATCCTATGGCACACCACATTGCTTATGAAATATTCTAAGACTTGCAAAATTTAGATAAGTAGAAGGGTAGTCTTCATTTTCGAAATTTAAGACAGGCATTTTGTACTGAATTAATTTATTGTCTTTATAATTCGTGTGTATGTCTATAAAGACTTTTAATTAAGAACAAGATGACCTGAACCACGTTTCGTGCTATTTAATTCTTTGTAGTTCGAATTTGCATAGGGTACACGTCTTAGCAAGAAAATTAACAGATCTTGAAACTTGAAATTTTGGAAGAAAATTATAAACTTTTCTTCTGCCATTTTATACAACTAGTCCGTAAATACATTGTGCTGTGGAAAAGCTTCCACACGAATCTATAGTACGTTTCCCATAGATTCACTTGGATTATCTAGTCTGGCCTCTCAATAACACATTTTTACATACAGAAAAGAGCACAGCTATTACCTACGTACACATAGGCAGGTTACCCTTTCATTAGATATGAATACGCATAACTCAGTAAAATATTTTGCGCATAAGTTGAAATTATTTCAGAGCCGCAATAAAATTATAGTAGTTAATATACGCAAAATTTTCTAACAAAAGGACATAGTTTTGCGCTATGAATTTCACTAAAATTTGACACAATACACGACTCTCCTTTTTACATTCTCTGATAAAATATATTCCTACGGTATAAATAAACATAACTTTTTTTTCAACATACACTGACTGAAACATATATTTAGCTATGACACGTTCATTTATAAGTTATTTGAAGGCAGTACTTCGGTTCGGGGATGTCACATTGGCCTACCTAACACTGTGACGTTGATTGCGAGGACCCTGGGAGGATGTGTAGACACTTGACACATGTACTGGCCCTCATCTTCGCGTTGCACTGGGCTGATTTGAAGCTGCCAGTTGTTTGGGTACTGGAACGTTATTTTCAGGCGAGGGTCACTGCTGTAAGGAACTGCACCGACTGTTAGCAGAACCACTCGGTCCACATACCTTCGTAGCCACATCACCTGCAGCAATAAATTTGTTATTAGTTCCACTGGCCGGACCGCTCAGTACTGTAGTCGGGGCGAATCTGCACGCTCGTGATCCGTTAGAAGTAAAAGGTAACGAAATCAGAGGGTTGTAAGGGGTAGCAGATAAGGGAAAATGTGTTGTCCATCCTGTAAACATTCTTTTACAGCAGCAGCACTGAAAAGCTCGCTGTCTGATTTCGTATATCTACAATGTCTTTGTTTTCCTTGTACCCGAAAGCTTGTGACGTATGTAAAACGCACATGTTCACTCCAACTACAGTACACTAACTAGATATCTCAAATGTAAACTAGGGGCTGTGACGGGGCATGTTTGAAATTGAAAAGAAATACACCTCGTATTATGACCCTACGTGTTTACCGACGGTACGCGACGGGGATTTCCGGACGCTGTCTATCTTCTTGTTTGCATTAGTGTAAAACGTAGTCTCTATAATTGGGTACGGAGAAGGACGTTTAGATCTAAAACAGGGGAAATAGTGGAATCATGCAAGGTTTTTGTCTGTAAAGGGATGAGGCCACTTTGGAGATTACATCAGAGGATAAATTGACATGAATTATGGAATATATAAAAACCAGCATTAATTGACGATGAGACCTTGTAGAAATTAGAAACTAGTTCAGTTTGCATTTATATTTTCACGATAAAATAACAGAGCTCAGCTGATAGAGGTAAAGGCAAGGTGTAGAATGATCAAGTTAATTTTGTACTGATTCTAATAAAAAATTGTTCCACCTACTAAATGCCATTGAATTGGTCATGATTGGAGGACATGAGATGTAGGTATAAAATTGTGATTAGCAACACTGAAGGAACCACTCTGAAGAAGATTCAGGCGTAAACGGGAATATAATATTAAAAAAGGATATTTATCAGAATGGGAGGGTTTGAACTGGGATATCTGGTTCAGAATCGGGACCTGTGGCCGGCTCTTTTTAACACGGAAATAAACCTCTGAGTTTAATACAGAGTATACACAAAAGAATGGTGCGGTTTCAAAAGTTAATACAAAAATTATTTCTCACCTGACGGTGTATGTTGTGCCTGTGTAAGGTGAGAAATAATTTTTTTATTAACTTTTGAAACCGCACCATTCTTTTGTGTATACTCTGTAAATGGTGGGAAATTTCTTGACTAATTGATTGTGCCACATGGAGTGAGTTAACTTAGTTAGTTAATACTGAGTATAATGTCTATTTTATGAAACTATCAATTTTGTATTCCTTAAAGTGTTTACTTAATTTTAAGAATGCTTAAATGGTTGGCAGATGACGACATAGGTTACGTTTGTCAAGAAGGATTATTTTCAGATATTATTTAATTATAAATTATTATGCGTATATAATTTGATACTGTTATTTATAAGGGCCTTTTATTATAGTATATTAAGGTAAAATTTTAACTGAGCTTAATTAGTCAATAACTAAATATGACCTATGACGAAATTATGATATAGTTCAATGTATTTTTAATCTCGTACTTCCACGGGTTAAGTGGTTTTCTTTGCACTTCAGACGCTTGCCGTCGCAGAAAGAGTATACAGTGTCCATAAAGTAGGTGTTCCGACCCGATCACTGTGTTAAGTTGGCTAATCCAGCGCATAGCGCCATAATATTATTTGTGTATTGATTTATTGTACAAACGGAAGCCATCGAATTCCTTTCGTTGTGATGTGCTGGGTGTATAAAACGCACACTGATATTTCAGGGCAAACAGCACGTTACGGTTTGACTCGACTATGACGAGACTTATCCTGGGTAGTAACTTCTGACACTAACTTTCGAAGTGGAACGTCAGACGAAATTCAGTATGACATAAGATGTGAAACTTTTCAAAACAGAAAAAGTAAAACACGCCTTGAATATGAATTTAAGTGGTTCTTTGCGGAATGTCAAGTAAGATAAGAGTTTCCTATGGTCAGAAGTTTGTGGTAGAATGTTTTCAGTTTCAACTTTGTAAACTCCATAATATCACAAACAGCCTGGAGATATACATATGACTTACTTGGCAAAGTAGAACTATACATGGTCGTTAGAGAAAGAGAGAACATCATAAGCAATTTACTTTCACTCGAAAGAAATTTCGGTAGCACTGAACAAGATAACGTGTTTAAATTATATGAACCATCTGTCATTTGTGTCTAGTTAAGTTGTAAATTGTTTTGAATAGTGATATGTCTTCAGTTTTACATTTTTTGAATAGCTTCATTACTGATTGAATACATAAAATAAGAAAAGAGATATTTAATTGGAGGTCAGAAGGAGTAAAATGTGAATTAATGAAGAAATAGCAGAACAATTATAATAGACACAAAAATACGAAGAAGAAATTACGAGAATTATCGAACGTTGTGGAGGTCATCATCTGAAACTTGTGAGGTTAGGGATGAGATCTGTTTCATTATCCCAGAATCTGAGATAACAAAAGAGTTGGTATTGGTGAAAGCACCTAGAAAATAAGCGTAAATGTATTAAAGAAGTGACATAAGATGGTTTTTGGGCTCTGAATTATTTAGTCTCATGAAGCATGAACAATTTTGGACAGCTGGAACAAATGTATTAAAAGCAGGACTTGTATGTAAAAATAAAGTATGGCGAACAATCACAGAATTCAGATTAAAATTGTAATGCAATAACACATAATAAATTATCCAAATATGTGGCAACGGTGATATGCAAGAGGATGACAGTGACAAGTCAATATGACATTCATGAAGTTGAAAGTGGAGTAAAGTCTTAATATATGTTAATTTTTGTTCACGATTTTTTGCCTTCCCGTCTCTTGTATAAAAACGTAAACACAAAATATTTCAAGTCATGGTTTTGCCTCTTGTTTGGTATGAGTATGAAACTTCACTGTAAATGAACCACGGAGATTGAGAGAGTTTGAGAACTGAGGGCTGATGAGAAAATATAGATGTTGGTTAGGATAGAGTTTCGCAACCTTTTTCACACCCTAACTTGTCAGTGACACGTGACGTAATACCACAATATATCGCCACGTGAAGAGAGTGTAAGAAATTCTGCATGTTTAGTAAATTCTTTCTACCTTGACCTATGAGAATGTAGGCTTATGAAAACAATACATAACACATGATGAATAAAACTATCGATTATGGACCAGTATATGTTTGTTACGAATTACAATTAGGGAAGGTACGATATTTCCTTTTTGCTTATAAATTGCTAATATGCATTTTATTACAAGAGTCTCGGTGTACCTTGTGATGGCAGACCGTTTGCTGAAAACTTGGTTGCAAGAAGTGGCAGAAGGGTGGGGAAATGTATTAAAGAAGCAAAGTATCTAATTAACATTTTCACAGTGGTATATGTTAACGTTAATAATGAGGGCAGAAATATAATTTAGCAGACCGTTTGAATTTAATTCACAAGGTGTTTCATAAAACAATTTTAGGGACTCATTACTATGTAATATATTTTTATATAACAAGTCAGAAATGAAACACTGATGTAGTAGGGTGTATATTTTAATTTTTTAGTGTCCTTAAGGAACAATTCATAATTTATCAAGAAAGGTGGGAAGGTGTAGGGGACTAACGTAACCCACGCAAGAACAAAATGGAGATGCCCAGTCGCTCTGAGTACACATATGACGTCATTATGTGTCGAATATAAACACCATTTTCTCATATCCGTCTGTAATTCTTCAACACTATTGTTTCCATATCCGTTTCAGTTATTTTTGTGCGTCGATTTTTAATCACCCGGTATTCGTTAGTGAGTCGCAGAGCGTGTAGCAGCTTCGGACGCTTCAGTGTACCTACGGCCCTCCCGTTCTTTCGCCATCCAGTGGAACACTGACGGTTTTTTCTCATTTATTTATTAATTTTGCCATAAAATCAGTAGCCATGTCACAAAAGTGAACAAACAGGAGGCCAAAGCAGTCACGACTACGGAAGTAAAATTTAAAAGTATTGCTGGGAAACGATCAGTCAAAATCAGAAGCGAAATGAAGAAGGCTAGAAATTAACCAATGCCAAATACATTTTGAAGACGACGGATGATTTGCAGTCCTCAAATTCTTCACTTTATAATTTCTTCAGTAACACTATTAAAAATTATATACGTTTTAAATTTAATTCTATAGACTTGTATACCTGTGTGCATAATATGAAATCCGTATTTGTTCAATAAATAATTATCAAAGTAGGCTAATTTTGTATTTATTTGTTCAAGAAAATGAGTTTGATTTTCAACTACAAGATTTTGCAGAAACGGATTTTCATTATAACATATAAATGAATGCTTCTCTATCTGTCATTTTTTACCCGTCTCATTTTGAAGGAACCAATTAACTACCGGATATCGTAGGCGAACTGTAGCTTTGGTTAATTATCATGTACTAGCACGTTTTATGTGTCCGGTTTACTAAATATTTTTCGTCAAGTAATTAAGAATGTTTTATTTCGTTCATTCAGTAGTATCTTAAAATTTTAAACAGATGTCTTGCTATATCATTGTTAAATAAGTCCATATGGTGCGGAAACACTAAAATTAACCACATTGTACACTTACATAAATCTTAATGGAGAGTAAGTAATTTGAATTTTAATAATAACTTTGTTTGTATTGAACATTGTATGTGCTATTATATGTATTTGAACTTCACAGGCCGACCGAAACGTGTCTACGTTCAAGCCCATTAATCTGTTACTTTCCGAACGACAGTACAATTTTGTATCCTCATTTAATGTTTTTGTGATGCGAGAAATGAATATTTTAATGTCTGAAGATTTATGAACACTTTAAGATGGAGTGTTCAGCGTCACATTAATTAAGAAATATGGCGCGTCCACACCATGTATGATGGCTTATTTATCTTGTGACTAAAGATCTAGTGATTTGGATTCTACATGATATATCCCTTTCAAGAATCCTCAAAGTCTTTTGGACGTATCCAACGTATGTAGTGCCCTGGGGGCTTAACATTCTTTCCCCCTACCAAACTCCTTTGCTCTTCAAGGTATAAAACCAAGTTCCCCTGTTCTAAACCCCCTTCATATAAGAAGTGAAAACAGAAGGTTGTTGCTGGGTTCCAATAATATCGACATTTTATACAAGCAATTCTAAGATACATAAAGGATATATAAGGCGAGTATTCAGCCACAAATACTTTTTATGAAAACAGGTTTATGGAAAATAAGTCCGATATATTGATCGCATTATTCCGTTTCCGCTAGAAAAGTTTATCGGAAACCACGAAGCAGTTTTATCTCTATAAATGGGAAAAAGGTGTAGGCCAGAAACAGAGAATCGACAGGTATTTTTGTTCCAAGTGTCAAAATGCATTATCAGATATATTCCGTATAAAATTTCATAACACAAGGCACTATACAGAAACTGTTAAAGAGAAATTTATGCCTATAAAGTAAAGTCTTTACGGGCAATTAGCCGCGTCAGGTGGTTGTATAAAGCCGACGTTTCGATAGTCGAACCGATCCTCATCATCAGGGATTATAGGTCGTCAGAGATTCGTGTGCTGTGTCCATGGATCCGCAGACAAATGAGTTCCTTGATGAGGACCGAGAAGCCAATGGAAACGTCGGTTTTATACGTCCAATTGACACAGCTGATTGCTCGTGAAGATTTAATTGAATTCAGTCTCCACGAAAGCTGTTACTCAAACATTTATGCCTATAACTGTTTCTTGAGTGTCGGTTTTTCTGTGCCTGTCATCCAAATCTCTCATCAGGCATTGCAGGCTCCAGAAAACGATCATCCAGCGGATGATACGCTGTGAACAGCGTTTTCCCAAGGCAGATTCCCTTTGATGCTCTCTTGTCTTCCTATCTATTTCCTCTGTGCTTCACTTCCCCATCTTGCGTCTATCTCATCCTTCTTAATATGATTACTGTATTAATATTAATATATGGCGAAGAAAAATGATAAATGAGGAAGCTGTGCTCAGGAAGTCTACTTTATGAGCGTAAATACCGTATAAATTGAACGATAAGGACTTCAATATAATACATGTGGCACAAAGTCACGAAAACCGATTTTTATTATAGCCAAAGTTCAATTTATCATGCCCTGTGGCAACATTGGACTCCTTTTGTCACTCAAGCAAGCCGTTGGTTTGACACGATATTTGTTAATGTTTTAGTGAATTACTTGTGTAACAAGCATCATGCCGTTTTCTACAGTGGAGCGTGTTTTAAATTTTGAACGTTTCATTTAAGCGCATACGTATGCATCAGTTATGCTTTGGTCATATAAGACGTTTCAGGCACACTTTCCTGATCCTAGTGTACCTGTATTTACAGAAGAACAACAAAACCAAAGGATGAAGTTCCCACGAATATAAAATTCAATACCCATACAAAACAACAGGTAATGTTAAGTTTTTGAGTTTTTCGGGAACTGGTGGAAGATAAATATATCTGACTGTATGTAGAAATAATATTAATAAGTTTTTATAGTCTAATAGTATATAATAATAAACATGACATTCCACTTTCGGTTGCGTTATATCGGGAGGTTGCTTAATTATTGAAGGATATTATTCTGATATTTCAGTAGGGCCGGTGAAGATCTCTTTCAGTGACGATGTTGATTTATTTTTCTTTATATTGATATAAATCGTTTTGGAAAACTGTAGTGTTAAGCATTTTCTGTTTGTGAATACAAATACTTCTTCTTTTCTGAGCGTAATCATATTTTTCATCCACTTAAAACTGTCATGTTTCTTTTTACTCTGTCATGGTTACGAGTAAACATCAGAAGAGCAACAAACGTGCATTTTCTATTTATATTATTGATTAATACCTGAATGTACCTTTTCAGTCCAAGAGTTTTTAAAATTACTGTGTGAAGAAGAAAATTCAAAGGGTAAATGCAAGTGTATCCCTCAGGAGTCACCGTCACACAGTCTAGAGTGCAGTTGGTATGCCTGCTTTGTAATTCCTTTCATTGAAAGAGAATGCATTATTATTTCTATATGTATATTATAATGCTTCTTCCATTGAAGTGTAATTTCCTTTGGGTAAAATAGGAGTCACAGAAAATAATTTAATTTTATTTGTTTTCTATTAGAATGAAACATGTTCTGTCATCCAGAGTTAAGCAAATGAATGGAAAAAAAGTTTTTTAAACGAGTTCATGAGAGAAGACTTAGATATAAGAGAGAAAATAACTATAATATGTAGAACATTGCAGAATGAGGTGTTTTTAATCTGTACTCTTCATAAAATGTCTATAAGACATTGATTTCAAGGAGAAGGTGCAGAAAGAGAAATGAATCTAGAGTCTTAAATATATTTCGCAACGGAGCTAGCTGTACTTGTGACGTTCCTTATAGCTAATACGTTTAGACGGTAAAATATAATAACAAATTGTACCTAACCCCTGATTAGACAGTCAGTAAATCTTTAACTCACGTATTAACTTCAAGCGCCAATGTCAGACCACAGCACGAGAAGGTGTTCAAACACTAAGGCATGGGGTGATATTTTGTTAATGCATAATAAAATGAAATGCCACTACGAAGCTCGACGTGAACGAGATGTTTCGTAAGCAAAATTCAGCGACCCTTTCTCACCCAAGTCTTTAATACACTGCTAGATGGCTCTGGCAGTCAAATCAGAATTGAGTAGAAATTGTGCAGTCATTGGGCTGATCACTCACTAATAAATCCACAATTCAAGACCGAGAAACGTCCGAAAGGAGGCGGCCAAGACCCACAATGGGTTGTATAGTCAAGAAGCAACAGACTATGAAGTCCGTGTTATTTTTCATTGTCACGGAGGAGACATTTGACTTTGGAATAAAAACATGTGTAAGAGGTATTGTATGTGATGGAATTTTCTGTATCAATCTTTTTCCAAGGACTATAGAGTATGATTTTAATAAGAAAGCGAGATGCACTATCTAAAAAGAATATGAATAATAATACGTTGCGAATGATATCCTGCCATCAGTGATAAAAGAGTGAACTGTGATCTGTGGTATTTAGTCAGGCGTGTTATAAACCCCATTAACGTGAAGAATAGAGCCTTTTACATTCGAAACGTCTTTCGACAGCTGTCAAGACATAACTTAGATTCTGTTGAAATATAATACGTTCGTAAGAAACCCGCTAGAACGTCAACTAGTGACAGTAGTGCCAGAATCTCCCACCAGTGATTTAAAATATACGTATTCACCGTATCATATTCCAGAGGTTCTGAGACTTTCCGACACGTCGAGCCACATTCAACCTTGTTTAACGACCCCCTGGCCGCAAAGGTGGTCAGTTTATTGGCACTTCATAAATATTTATTAAAAATGATACCAACGTACTGGTTCGCATGTTAGCATTTATTAACAAATTCAGTCAGTTGTTAGGTTCTTGATTCTGTTGCTTGTATAATCTTTAAATTCAGATTTAATGTCTTTTGCGTTGCCCTATTAGTGTTCATCAGTAAGATGTTCTTCACTAAACGAACCGTTGTTCGTAGCGAAAGTAACTTAAGAATAATGAAGATATTAACATGTGTTTCCTGATACTAGTACATATTTCTCATCGAACTTCGTGAGATTTTTTGCAGCAGTTATTTACGATCCGTGAAAGAATATGCTTCAAAATGAAATTACCTTTCCTACTCCATTGCATTTTGCAATAGACGGTATATTTAATTATTTATTAAGTGAATTCTTCCATGTGTTCTGCAGTTAATAGCATAAACCCATCCGTATAATTTACTGAGAGGTTGTGCTTCTTTCACCAGTTATCGCCTAGCGCAAAATCACCACCTTGTGGGATAAATACAGCTGTCTCCGTGGCCCAAGTAAATGATAACAGATAGCCTTGACGTGTCATAGTGACATACGAGAGGTGAGAACCTACCCGTATTCAGCCGGTACCTGATAAAACCCGCACCATATCTCTCTCTACCTCGGTTAAACCTCGCCCCCGGCCACTCGTCACCCATTACGCCCTGTCACTGAGGGATCTACAGTGCGGAGTAGCCGGACTCAAATAACCTCCTTTTGACTGACCTACGACATTGTTTACGAAAGGTTTCTCTGCGACCAAAAGTCTTTGGAAGATTTCACGGTTAAAACTGTAGAACCTATCACGTTACCCATCCAGGAAAGTTATAACAACGCCCTCCACCTTTCACGAAATTGCAGTAACGTCGACGGCAAAACCCATAATTTCGGGCCGTTATAGCTTCAAATTACTTAACAGGTGTCGTGAGTTGAAAGTAGCCTTGCATCTGGGTGTGCACCATTGCACCCTAAGCGTAGTAGACTACTGCTCCTGATTCAGACAGCACTTACCGTCTTATCATGCAGCATACCGACACGGCAGTTGAGGCGAACTGATCCTCCCAGAGGTACTTGAAGGGCCAGTTGGCCCCCGTCGCTCGCATTGATGCCAACCTCCTCGAAGAATGGTCCCCAGTGGTGCACGTAGTGGTGCCGAATGTGACTGTATTGGTGACGTAGGAGAATTGGTTGCTGGTGATGTGGAGGATAATAGTTGTGCGCAGGCGTGATCCATGTGATGTTCTGGTCGATGTTTTTGTTGTTGGCATCTTGCAGACCGCCATCTGCTAAAAGAAATTTACATATTTAATATCAGCATTTACGTGACATTCGCCTATCACGGTTACGATCAAAATGTACGTATTTATAGGATTGATTTTGGATGATTTTATGAAACTTTAAATTTCTGTACTCATACGTTTATTAACTAATACCCTCCTCATTCGCTGTAAAATTACGGTGGTTCCTATTGGAGAGTCGTGATTGAGCCTACACAAAAGGTCTTAATCAGTCATTATAAATATTGGTATTTAAATATATACAATATGTTCTGCAAATAATAACGGTAGCATCTACATGCTACATATACAGTGAACAAAACCGATTGTAATATTCCTACGATAAATCAACAACTGACACAAGAAATTATTGACAGCCTAATTTTATCACTTTGTTTTTGTCTAGCATACATTTCAAATTATCCATTCTCTGTAAAAATGTACACATAAAGTATATCACAATTTAATATTAACACTTGTGTTTATTGTTCTGAAACTAAGTCTCTCACCCTGAGGAAAGAACATAGGATGTTCTGAAGAAGAAATTTGTACCTTTGAGGAAGCCAGTAACTTGAGACATATTTAGGAACTTCATAGTTGCACGTTTAACAGAATGTTAATTTGGTAACGGAATCAAGGAGTGTGAAGTGAACTGTTAATGTAGCATGCATGGAGAAATGAACAATACACAATTACAGTCAGGAAATCTAAATCTGCTTTAGACTAAAGAATCGCGTAGTGTATTATAGCTAACCAGTTGTTTTATTAGCTCAGATTTCAGGTTCTCATGGCGGCGAGTTTAAAGATGGCTGCACTGAAATGCTGCGCCGTGTAGTCTGATTGAAGTTTGCAATTGTTTCTGAGGTGGTTACTGCATGCATCATCAGGGCGCTACCCTTTTAAGGCTCATATCCTCAACAAGGGCTAAACGAAAGTGGCAGTCTACTGTTAAGCACTTCGTCGTCGTATTTGAGAAATCCTGGGTTAAAATTTGGCTCTTCTGGCTTTTTTGTGGTTTTACCGGAACAGCGTCTTAAATTATGTCACATCATATCTGATTCTTTTCCAGTAGTCATAATTTTACGTTAGGTCTAAGCATTTGGAAGCGTTGTTAATTAGACTAAGAATATTAAACAATGGCTTTGCTCCGTGGAATTAATTATTAATGTTCTTCTGAAATCGGAAAAAATATATTCTGTTCTTTTCATGTTCAGAACTAATTCTAAAATAGTGAATCATCAGACATTTAAGAGGATTACTCGGGTGGCGGTCCGATCGAACGAAAAGTCTCTCATACTTCACAGGACAATACAGTAAAGTACAGAATGACGCGTACACACGCCCATTCAAGTTGCATTGGAAACCGATTGACGTCAAAGTTCGCAGGTTTGTAAGACCTTGGCGACACTGTGTTCAGTTACAAGCAAAATGCCGTGACAATGTATTGTGTCAGCCATCGCCATGTCCTTTATATTGTAAGTTGTTCATAAGGTAGTATATTTGCGTCATATTGTGAACTAGGTTAATATTTTAATATTTTCCGTCAAATCACAATTTTTAATAAGATAATAAAATATAAAATATTTAAAATATCATTTCACGTTCCGCATCGAATGATCGATTTACAAATTGGAACGTTTTTTACGACATGTTTCGGTTATATTTAACCGTCCTCAGGTATAAATTAGATTGGTAAATTTAAAACTCGAATTACAATCCTTTACAATGTTATGCAGTTTATTGAAACATTAAGAACACAAAAAACACAATAAAGAAACTTCTGCATACGCAAAGCATATTCTAAACACAGGACACTCATATAACACAATTACACAAACTATGGACATTCTAAAAATAGTACGTAACAAAAGACATAGAGATACAATAGAGAAATATTACATACAACTTAAATTAATTTACTTTATTTTACTTATATATTCTACTATTTATTTACTTCCATCATTTTGTTTTCTATATTACTCCATATTTATTAATATTTTCTTTAAATCATTGCTTTACAGACTAATATTGAACATCAGATGAACCACGCCATATAAAAAACAATACCTTCATTCTAATATATAAGAGTAATCTGATAAGAACATCTTCAATAAACCGCATAACATTGCAAAGGATGTAATTCGAGTTTTAAATTTACCAATCTAATTTATACCTGAGGACGGTTAAATATAACCGAAACATGTCGTAAAAAACGTTCCAATTTGTAAATCGATCATTCGATGCGGAACGTGAAATGATATTTTAAATATTTTATATTTTATTATCTTATTAAAAATTGTGATTTGACGGAAAATATTAAAATATTGTAAGTTGTGTTTAACAACGATCCCCTGACTCTGATGGGGCAAGATATCCCATTTGCATTAATAATATGTAGTGCAGTTTTGATACGCTGGTCGTATCTGCACATCTTCACCTTCACAACGAAAGCTTGTATCTCCAAGAAATGTAAGTGAAGGTAAAAGGTTTGATAACGCAGTAATTATGTATCACAGTTGCCGGATAGTGTGGGAATTCTGTTAGCACATAATTTATAAAACTCTGATAATGTCCCTGGCTTAGTGTATTTTGCAACATTCTCACAAATGCTCACAAATGTAGGCCTATAAGCACATGAACAAGTATAACTTGTATCAGTTTGCTAAAAAGACACTTGTATTCAATGCTGAGAGTTTTGTTTTCCAGTGGACTTTCATTTTGAGCATTTTGCATTCAGTAATGTTTAGAAGTTTCTTCAGTGTGACTTAAAAAAATATTTCTTACGTTCCTGAATCTAAATATCGTGATATATGAAAATGTAATACTTAGTCTATAGAATGAATCTACCGTGTACCATGCAGACACAATGTAACAGTTAGTATCAAATGACGGAGAATAACATATGCAAAATGTACTGTGAATCTAAATGAGCTGAGATGACTTCAGTAACACACACTCCTCCATTAATCCATAGAACGGAATCCATTCCCAAGGCACCTACAGACCGTAACGTAGAATTAAATGTTGAAAGAGAATACATATATCTAGAAGCTTGTGTGATTAGCCAGCCCCTTGGAGAACGCTCTCTAACAAGTCCCCGTAACAACCTCCAAGATCTATTGAATGCTCTAGGGGTGATTCATGAGAGTCTAATTGGACGGGAAAGACGAAGGGCGGCCTGTTAGGCAGTGGCTCATTTCAGCTTCCAGTGAGGACAACAAACAGTTCCTCCTAAGACTTCAATTAATTGATCGAACATGTCGGGTAGCTATGAGGATGGAACACTTGAGTCGCCGGATTCAATGCATTTATAATGAGGAGTGCACAATGAAGTTACGTGTCAGAACTCCTTATTTAAAAGTATGCAGTTCTGTTGCCATTATGATTTGGGATCTCTAATTGACTCGGACATGTGACGTAAAATGTTGCTTTGTGCACGAATTACTTTGTTAGAACTTTGAACATGGAATGAAGACAAAGACATTTGATATGATGTCAGAGTTTTAAATCTACTTTGGAATGGAAATGAATCGATGACCTATACTGTCCTTCACTGAAACCGAATTAAGGGAGTCTGTTTTGCATATTTGTTTTTCTGTACAGCTTTGAGTTTTAAAAGTCAGTCATTAAATTCTCAATTTTTTTGTTTCTTTTAGATTGTAGAGTGCTTTCTGTACTCATTTGTCCGTGTTCCCTTATAGGCAAATGTTTTGATCTGTAAATTTTTGTGTTGGAAATGTATCTACTTAAATGAAGTCGAGTTCTCCTCAACGAACTATTATTTCTCAGCGACGTGTAAAATTCCCTGGCTTCTATTTAGCTCGGAGGAAGGTTCATTGTCTCGTGGGATTTGACGTTCTCACGGCGATGAATCTATAGTCTTCTGGGTTGTAGCGCATTTTAGTCTGGTGGAAGTTTACCATTGTTTCATAGGCCCTTGCTGCCTCCATCATGGGGGTGATGACTACACGGTGCTATAACCCAGAAGACAGCCAATTTCGATTATTTTGTTGTTCGTAAGAGCCAATCGCTAGTTTCTTTACCTAACAAGACGAATTATTTTACACATCGCATATCATTTCTTTATATTCTATTTTAATATAGTTATCACATACACACGTGCATCTTCTCTTTGCTTAAAATTCTAATGAATATTCTTTCTGGATTTCTATTCCTCCCTTAGATGCTTAACATACTCAATTTCTTTTACCTTGTTGTGGTTGCCAAATAATGCAGGAATCTTTTCTCCTTATAAAAATTTGTGATTAGTCGTTGTCGTCAATAAATTACGTCATCAACAATGTCAACTATAAACAAACTCGGCATTGTTGTGGAACACAACAATGCCGAGTACAACACAACAATGCCGAGTAAACAAATAACGCTTCACTACCGAGCCAGTCGCATTATCACTGCTCCAGAAGCAGCACATC